ATGTGTATATTAATAGCGTGATGATAACGAGTGTATATATGTATTAATAGCATGATGATAACGAGTATATATGTGTTAGTAATAGCATGATGATATCGAGTGTATATGTGTATTAATAGTATGATGAAAACGAGTGTATATGTGTACTAATAGCATTATGATAATGAGTGTATATGTGTATCAATAGCATGATGATAACGGGTGTATATGTGTCCTAATAGCATGATGATAACGAGTGTAAGCAATGGCACACCTCATAGTAGGGCAGACACCACCTGATGGCTGCGGTCGGGTGTGGGTGTAATACCAATCGGTTGTATTGGTTGTAAATGAGTCATGTTGTGTTAGTCACTTGTTTGGTGTATATGAGTCATGTTGTGTTAGTCGCTTGTTTGTTGTACATGAGTCATGTTGTGTTAGTCACTTGTTTGATTCCACCCGTCAACTGCGCCTCCTGTAATTACCGGCATGTGCATTGCCCAATCGGGTGAGAGCATTGCCAAATTAGATCAAATGATAACACACGCAGTTCATCGGCTAATGCTATTGATTATCCTCAGCAACTGTTATTGGTTTCCCTTTGCAACTGTTATTGATTTTCCTTAGCAACTCTTATTGGTTTCCCTTAGCAACGGTTATTGGTTTCCCTTAGCAACTCTTATTGGGGTTCCTTAGCAATTGTTGTTGGTTTGCCTCAGCAACTGTATTTGGTTTCCTGTGCAGGTGATGTCGGTGTTTGCTGATGAGAAGGTGGTATTCTACCGTGAGTTCCGATCCGGTTTCTACAAGACCTTGCCTTATTTGTAAGTCATCTGTGGGATGGGCTGCTCTCACATTACGTGAGTGTGTGTGTGTTTCAATCGAAGGTGTCGTTACTTGAAAGTTTTAGGGTTTAGGGTTTGCTCTGAGTGGTTTGCTGACAGTGAATGGGTCCAATACATCTATGAGATGTTTGTGGTTTCTGTTCTTCGAATAAGTCGGACCAGGGGTTTAGGGTTTAGGGTCGGCACACCACATTCATTACCACATTACTACATTCCCATGATTGTTTCATCATCCCCCTTCAGATTACCGTCGAAGGTATCGTAGCTCAGTTGCACGGGATACATAGTAAGTTAGTGTTTTAGGGGTTTAGGGTTTAAGTGTAGAGCTTCACCAGACGCTGCCTGTCCCTCTCTCCTCGCATACAGCGTCACAAAGACCGGCGTGGAGTTTCCCATGATTCTCGTCACCCAATTCATCGGAGCGAACATCAGTTATTGGCTCATTGGCTTTCAGGTGCGGTGGTGCAGTTGAGTGCGTGTTGCATGGACGGGTGTTTTGAATTCTTAAGTCTGTGCCCATCGTGTCTTTTTGCTGTAAGTTTGTGTTTGTGTATGTGTATGTGTGTGTGTATGTGTTTGTGTGTGTGTTTGTGTTTGTGTTTGTGTTTGTGTTTGTGTATGTGTTCGTGTTTGTGTTTGTGCTTGTGCTTGTGCTTGTGTTTGTGTTTGTGTGTGTGTCGTGTGGTGGTGTCTAGTCACTCGACCGAGTCTGCGTGGTTGCGTGTGTTATCATGTGGTTCATACAGTCTAACGAGAGGTGCCTGCACGTGCGCAGTTACGTATATCGCCACGTGTGTACATTTGTACGGCCACGTGTTTACATTGTAGCCCAATAGTAATCCTTGGCCGTTTTAGGGTTTTAGGGTTTTGCCACAGCCATGTCGCGTACTGACATGGGGGTTGTCTCTGGTGATACCTCTCTCGCCATGGAGTTCTGAACAATCCGCGTTTTTCGTTGTTTGGCTGTGCTGCTGTGTTTTACTCCGAGGGTGTGTAGTAAGCGCATACCCTGTTTTCGCGTCTATAACACCACTCCTTAGGGATTTGTTTTTGGGTTGTAGTGTTGTAGGGTTTTAGTAACTCTTTCGCACGTGTTGTGTTGCAGGTGGAGGCACTCAAGTTCTTCATCTACTACATAACCACTGCTCTGATGGGACTGTGCGGTGCCGCTCTAGGTAGGTAGTTTTTAGGGTTTTAGGTAGGTAGTGAGTGGGTGAGTGCAGCAGATATGCACCAACGACTCAATGCAAGGGACACTCTTATCATATCAGTGCACTCTGTTTGTTGATGGGTAGTATTGTGTTTATAGTCACATCATGTCAGTGCACTCTGTTTGTTGATGGGTAGTATTGTGTTTGTAATCACATCATAGTGCACTCTGTATGTTGATGGGTAGTATTGAGTTTATAGTCACATCATGTCAGTGCACTCTGTTTGTTGATGGGTAGCATTGAGTTTATAGTCACATCATAGTGCACTCTGTATGTTGATGGGTAGTATTGTGTACGTATACACATCATGTCAGTGCACTCTGTTTGTTGATGGGTAGTATTGTGTTTATATTCACATCATGTCAGTGCACTGTTTGTTGATGGGTAGTATTGTGTTTATAGTCACAACATGTCAGTGCACTCTGTTTGTTGATGGGTAGCATTGTGTTTATAGCGCGTTATTAAAAGGACTTGTCCTGTATTCTCCTTGCCTCTCATTTGGCGTAGCTTTGACCATTGTCGGTGTGGTGAATCATTCATGTCTCCTCAACGGTCTGTTTTGGGCGTATCACTTCACTCTTAACTACGTACACATATTTTACCTCACCACATTACGTTTTTATTACACAAATATTTACTACTACACGGTACATTTATTATTGCACATTACATTTACTATTACATATTACACTATTTCATCACGTTTACTATCACACGGTACATTTCTATTACACATTATTTTATTATTGCACATTACATATTCTATTATACATTACACTTACTAAAACACATTACATTAACTATTATACATTACATTAACTATTATACATTACACTTACTAAAAAATATTACATTAGCTATTATACATTACATTAACTAATATACATTACTCTTACTAAGACACATTACGTTAACTATTATACATTACATTAACTATTAAACATTACATTAACTATTATACATTACATAAACTATTATACATTACATTAACTATTATACATTACATTAACTATTATACATTACATTAACTATTATACATTACATTAGCTAATATACATTACATTTAACATTACATCGACTATTATACATTACATTAACTATTATACATTACACTAACTATTATATATTACATTAACTATTATACATGATACTTACTAATACACATTGCATGTACTATTACAACCCTCAAAAAACCCTAAAATGTCATGATCCATATTTATATCCCGTGTAGGTATCCTGGCTATGTGCTGGTTGCCTAATCTGCAGGCGGCCTCAGCAATCCTTCCGTTGCTCATGACTGCCTTCATGCTGTTTTCAGGTACGTACAGTATATAATGCTATAGCAGTGCTAAACATACAGTGTTATGTCAGTGCTACACATACAGTGTTATGTCAGTGCTACACATTCAGTGTTATGTCAGTCCTACACATACAGTGTTATGTCTGTGCTACTCATACAGTGTTATGTCAGTGCTACACATACAATGTTATGTCAGTGCTACACATACAGTGCTTTGTCTCCTCCGCTACCTTTTGATACCCACATGCTCGGTATGTGTGGGTCAATCTCAAATGACAGAACCATCGTCTAAACAAACCCTAAACCCTAAATCTCATATTCTTCAACTCCCTTTTAGGTTTCTACCTCAACACTGATAGTACGCCTGTCTACTTCATTTGGATTCAGTAAGTGATGCCGAGTATCCAATGCACACTCTGCCTGACCCGCTGGGGTTATGTGCTGCAAATATAAATATCTAAGGGATATAAGATATATATATATATATATATATATATATATATGTGTGTATCTTAATATATATATATATATCACAATATATATCACAAAATATATATATATACATATATATATATATACATACATACATACTTACATATATATATATATATATATATATATATATATATGTATATGTATATGTATATGTATATATATATAGATATACATATATATATATATATATGTATATATATATAGATATATATATATATACATACATACATATACATATATATATATATATATTATATATATATATATATATATGACCGAGGTAGGTATTCTGTTGTCGTCTGAAGTAGTAGTTGTATACTTTTTAGTCTTAATTGTTCTGTGTTTGAGCGAATTATATGCTGTGGCGGTGGGTTTGGTCGGAGTGCAGGACCTGTGCGGTTGCTGCTGCGGGTATGTCTGCACGTACGGAATAGTGTAGACATCAGTAACCTTAATTTTACGTGAATCTCCTAAATCCTCGCCACATCACCACAACACTGCATGCCGAGTCAACTCCAGTCCTTTTGTTCTCAACTACCGACGGTAGCACGAGCGTACAAGGGCGGGAGTTGCATGGTGTTGCTGTGCTTGGTGACGTCTCTTCTCATGCGGGTTTCGTAGCTTACCTGAAGGTCCCTAGGGATTTTCTCATGTCGTTTGCGCACGCTTTTTCTTAGTTTGACTGGTAGTCACTGTACTTCACCATCCTTGCAGATACCTCTCTCCCGTCTACTATGGTTTCCAGTCAGTGGTTGTGAATGAGTTCGAGGGATTGGTGTTCGACTGCACTGGCGCCACCTACGGCTGTTACCCCACGGGCGAAGATGTGATCGCCTCGTTGGGATTCGAAGTATGATATCATTGTCTATTTGTGGATCGATCGTACTTTCATATCCGTGTGCACACTTAGATGTATAAGATTCATATGTATAAATATTTTAAACGCACACACACATATATACATGTATAAACATATATACGTGCATACATATTATATATATATATACAG